TGGACATGGATAAGGAAACGTGAGATTCCGAAACGTGAGCTAATGCAGATAGCGAACAAGATGCTCGAGTAAAAAATTTTTCTTATTTAAAATTCCTTCGTTTCTCTTACTATTACCACGCTACTTTGCATGAAAGTAGATACAAATTATAAAAATAAAAAAATAAAAAATAAGAGATCGAAACTGCCCTCGACGAAAGAAAAGATGTGGGGGACGGATCGCGAAGATAGAGATGGTAAGCGATCGATGGAGGCCATTCGTGCTGGAGAATGTTCCATTAATTACGCGGAAACCTTCAGCTAATCAATGGGTAGTTAGTGGCCAATGGTTGGCTCGCATCAATAATCACTGGGCGACGCGGTAGTATAGTGCTGGGCTTTGATGCGCTAATTTACACCACCTGCATTAATGCCCTTGCCCCACTGGTCCGGAACGACGATTGTCTAAGTGCGTGTACTATCCCAGGTAGGCAGGTAGGCCGCCGCGAACAAGACGATATATTAAGATAAGTCCGCTGGTATCGATATTCATCCCTCGCATAATTCACCATTCGTATCTACTCATTTCTTCTCGTATTAACAAGCGATCTTAATCAAGAACTATTAATAATATTACTTACAACTTAAAGTGGTAAGCGAATACACTTATATCTAAGATTAAAAACGTATTGAGCAATCAATAATTGCATACAAGACAGAAATAAAAATCCAAATTTTTTTCTAAGGAAACGTTACGGAGATTCCTTCTTCGTAAAACGATATAACGAGGAATCTTGGCGTGAGAGGTAAAACGGCGGAAGACTGTCCGTTCGAAGAAAGAATTTGGAACGAGCCGTGGAACAAAGTGGGATCTTTTCATCCCATCGCCTGGCTAATATCTGATGCTCCGACCGTAACGAGAGACACAAAAGAACAAACCTTCCTGGTTACCTCGCAAATCCGTCTACTCTCCAAGGAAAAGCGCAATCACGGTAACAGCGCGCGATTAACCAGGGAACAATGGCGGGGTCCGAGGGGTTTCGAAAATTCGCGGCGCGGCACAATGGAGCCAGTCCTATCCGCGCGGTGGACTGGCTGCTTCCCTCCCTTCCTCCCTCCCTCCTTCCATATCTGACTGCTATACTTTTCAGTCTGTTATAAATACACCGTGTAAACGTCTCGGTGACACTCGGCTCCGTTCCCTCCGTCGCGCTTCCGCTCTCGAGCGGTGACAACGGTGGGAACAATGAGCCGACCCCACCAGTGCAAACTTCACCTTTTGTCCCGACGCACCGGGAACGGGCGGCAGAACGAGAAAGAAACTCCTCTCCCGCTCGGTTTACGACCGAAACAATACTTTTATCTTTTCGAAATTCGTCCTCGCCCCGACCTGGAGACAGTGCCGACCCGCCTAATTAGATTTCGTGAAAGAGAATGGGAGAGAGAGAGATTGGTTAAATAGTTGGCCACGTGGTAGTCGTTGTAATAAAGTGTTGAAAAGGTGTGAGAAGTGAGAGGAGAGCGTGTGAAAGATTAATAGAAATTCGCAGAGTTGCGCCGCTATCCCCGTTTAATTAACCAAAAGGCAAAGGTTTTGTTGATGGTGTCGTGCAGATACCTATGAACCAGACTATTTTGCATTTTGTAATTTTTGTTCCACGGTGCTGTTATATACGTGGCTGACTTTAGTACTTTAATGTAAATGCTCGTAAATGAAATGCGTGTACACGCTATGGATGGAATATTTACCGATGTTTACGAATTTTTGTTGTTGTCGTTCGTTGAACGTTTGGACGAGATATTTTCGCTATATTTTGTGGATAAAATCGGTTTATGCGACGCAGTTCGTAAGGAATAATAATCGTGGTATAATCTGACGAAACAAGTTATACAATTTGTATAAGTAGACTGTAGAAGGAAAGTTGTTGGAAAGATATTTTTGTAAAATATTTTCGTATCGTTTTAGCACGAATTACATCGAAGATTTTTCTTGATACTTAATTCGTAGAATCGAGTTTTGTTTATGTACAGAGAAGAATCTTTGTAGTGATCCGACGAGAGGAAAGGATTAACTCGTGTTGCTCATTATTCTGCATTAGCATACTCTCCTTTTGACCATGTTTATTGTCTAATGAAATTGATGTTGTTAGCGGCGATAATGCATTGCGAGGGAAGTGGGCGAATAGTGGAATACAATTGCGTTTCCTCTTTGTTTCAAACGAATTGAAATTGTTCGACAATCGATGTCAAAGTTCGTTTAATCCAAATGACACGTAATTATCGTGTTATTTCTATTGATTATTGGTTAAGTTTGAAGAAGGAAAAGATGGACAAATTTCGCATTAATTCCAATATATATATATATCCCCTTCGTTCGTTTTTACCATCATAACAAGGCAGGCAAAGCATCCTGAATCTACACTTTTCTTTTTTTCTATAAAAATAAAAAAAAAAACTCTGACTACGCCGTCAAAGAACCGAGTTTCTAATTCATACAGTCGAGCAAGCGGCTCAGAAGCCTCCTGATTCCTCGACGTCCCTTTGCGGAAGTTTAAATAATACCAGCTTTGTACGTTGTGCATCATCCGCTCGATCGGCGTTTTATTGTCGTCGGCTCGTCGTCGTGAAATTGTACAAAGAATCTCTCAAAGAAACGGGGAAAAGTATAGAAGAAGAAGAATAAGAAGAAGAAAAGGAAACTTATAAAGAGCGGTTCCTTCGTTGACATCCACGCGAATCGATGGCCATTATAATGCAAACCTTGGAAGCCGTGGAAAGAAGGAGAGCGGGCTGGAAGGGAAAAACAATATCGGTTAGAGTGGTGAACGTAAGTGGAACGAAAGCGGAATGCCACGAATTTCGTTCGCGTGGTTTCCATGATGGAGTTTGACCGGTGGACCGAAGCGAGCAGTATCGGCTCTGGTCTGCCCCGATAAAGGAGAAAGCCCCGATATTGGTCGGACAGTGGAATGCCTCCCCACGCTCGCGTCGGACAACAAGATTTCTCTCCGGTACCTTATCCCAGCCTCGTCAGCCTTATGGACCGAGGTCTGGATGGAGGGAGGAGGAGAGAGAGAGAGAGGCGGAAGGACAGATCGAGGGCGAGGTTAAAAGGAAAGTCAAGGGGATCGAAAGATTGCGATTGGAACAAGTACCGTTAAGCGGCGATGGTCTTCCCCGTTGTCACGATCAGACACGCGTGTGCACCGCCTCGACTGTCCTTGCCGAGGAACAACCTGGTAAATTGAATTTCGGCTGGGATGGAAGGAGGAGAAAAAGTGGAGAAGAGGAACTTTACGAGCACAGGTGTCGAGCAAAGGGGGAAGAGACTAAGGAAGATGGAGGAGCGAGACGTCCGTTTCCTCGCGATTCACCCATTTAACCGGCGCGAAAGAAGAGTGCGAAAACAAGGGGAGCGTGTTATCGAGCGCGGTTAAACGAATTTGGTCCGGGAATACCGCCGGTAAACAGGGAAGGAAGAGGGAAAGAGAGAATTCGGTTCGGATGGAATCCGCGGCCATATATTTCTACCGCCTATTCGTCGGATGAAATACGGAGAATTCGGCATAAAGCAACCGCATAAAACGCGCATTATTCTTAACGTTTTTTTTTCCTCGGGCGTAAATTCAACGAATTTATACTACGAGCAAATCTATCCCCATCAGACGCAGAACGACGTTACCGTTTCCAACCGTCGCGTTCCGCTTCCTTCTCTTTTCATACGCGGACGATGAACCGGCGGTGGAATTTCTCCACAATCACGGATCACAACGTTTATCAATCGCTTTTTCGATGCTTCGTTTCGAAAATTTCACCAATATATGATAACGAAAATTCGACGATTTTTAACGAATTTACGTTAACGAATCAAACGAATCGATCATCTATAATATTTTCTCGTGTATCTCACGAGATCATCGATTTCGAGGGATCGTTGATAAAACATTATTCTGGAACATCTCTCTGATGCAAGATGGGCTGGGTAACGAATTATCGCCCCGTTCGAGATGGCCAGCGCGCGAGCGAAATTAAACGCGCGGATGACAAATAAAGGGGACGAGAGGCGCGACGGTCGGACAGGAGAAAGGGGTCTGGCTGGTGGTAGCGAGAAATAAAGGAAAGGCCTGTCCTTCGCGCGAGCAACCGGCGAGATATTAAAAACAAAAAGTGGGCCGCGTGGCGGCCGGTTCATTTGAAACGTGATTCGAGGGGGTTGAAGAGGGGATTGAAACGTCGTCACCCTTCCTCCCCGCATGCCGCATTGTTTCGTATCCCGTGTGTACGTGCGTTTCGACGCGCGAGACGAGCGACACGGGTTCGTTCGTCGATGGGAAAAAATGAGCGCGAGAAGAAAATGTTTGCGACAGATGCATATTCATGCGGTGTCACGCCTCTTGTCCCCGCAACAAATGATTAATATGCATACGATTTTTGATCATTCCTGAAACTTTGAATTTTGTGGAAAATAAGTATTTCGACGAAGAGAGGTGACGTTTTGAAAGGGATTAAAGTTTTTGATTGTTTTTACAACGAGGCTGTTGTACCCGGAAAATTGATTACGCGTAACGATAAAACGGTTAGCTTTGATGTTTTATAATACGTATTAATTTTTTACCCGATACGCGATATTGTTTGCGCAAAGTGTAATTTTATATTTCGGTCCGACTTTTTCTTTTTTTTTCCACCTTCATTATTTTTTTCACAGTCCTCTCTGTCCCATGGAACGGCAAATGAATATTAATATTTGGCATAATTATAATTATAATTACGCTGGAAACTTTGGATATTTCGACTTCTTCTTCCGCACGGATGGATGACAACAGAGAGAAACAAAAATTTTCGACGATTGTCTAGCATATTTTTAAATATTTGCAAATCAAAACGCGGCGCAAAGACCTCTTTTAATCCCTAATAATTAATGTCCAACCTGACACACTTTGGCGTTGATCCGCTTAACATTTATCGCTAGCAATTAACAACGCGCGTTATTGAATATTTAATGCAGTAACAACGTTTACTCACCGAGGACGACGAGCTTCACAGGCCTGCCGGAAAGTATCTTCCCTTGGTCGTCCTCGAGCCTGCAACCCCATATACCGTCGTCTTCTAATCTGACGTTGTCTATGTGCAACGCGTCAGTCATGGAGTCGCCGATATATCTATGTCCAGTCCCGCTCATCTCTGTCCTCGTGTTGATCGTAATCATATCTACAGGACTTCCCTCGTGCAACCATGTCGCTGGCCGTATTCTGTAGCTCCTAACAAGACAATTCGTGCCAATTAGAGAATTAATTCGGGATATATACGCTCGATATAGATCTCGAGAGTTCTCGAGTTTCAGTTTGTCGGGACAATATCGATTTCGACTATTTGCTGACGCTACTTTAAATCGAATCTTCTCGTTTGCGGGGAGGAAACAGCTCATGGTGGAGGTGTGCCAACGATTACACCGATCTCGATGATTTTTTTTCGAAAAAAGAAAGAGGGGGGAACTAAATTTCGGTCTTTGGAAAATGTGTGATCGATGGTTAGATCGTTTATTCAATTAATTAACGAGTCTGTGGAAACACTTTTGTCATTGTATCGTGAAATAACATTGATTTCTTTAAACAGAATTTCAATCAAATTTCTTCTGCGTGGGATGGAATTACAAGAAATTGAAAGCAGACAGATAAAAAATAATAATTATTATTCGTTATTACCTTTACCATAATAATTAAATTTATACAATTTAATCTTCGACGATTATTCCATAATTGCCTGAATTTCAGATCGAAATTATTCGCAGCTTGATAAATATAACGACCCCGATATTTAAATTTATTTTTCCCCCTATATATATATAGAATTTCCTAAGAAAAATCTTAGGACTTCTCCGATCTATATTCTCCACGATATAAATTCATCGTCGCGCATAGAAGCGCATAGATAAATCTCGTCATATCCGCTCGTGCGGATTTGATTGGTCGATAAAGATGGTTAAATTACCTGACCCCGGGCAACAGCAGCCTCGAGTAATTTTCCTCCAGCTCGCACGGTAGTATGACCTTGCTGTGAGGTTTCACCACCAGTTCCAAGGGTGGCTTTGACGAAGCGACAGCTGTATCTAAGGTGACTGGAACATTGGTTGTAGCGGAAGAACTGGTAGACCATAAGTCCTCTTCGGGGGCTAAAAGGGCCGCGGGCTGCGCCACCTCGTCCGACAGAGAAATCAACGTCGAGCTGGACGCCGTTGTGCTGGTGGTGCTCGTCGTGGTTCTTCTAGCACGCCGTCCACCCTCCTGTCTGCTACGAAGGGTGAAAACACCGGCCTCGTTCACCGAGCCTGCAATGACAAACGAGACACCGTCGTGATTGATATTCTATTACTTGGTCGTGTCTTCTATAATTATATTCGATAAGATAGAAGTTGAAGATTTTTTTCTTTTTTGTTTAAAAAAATTTGGAATCGCGAAATATTGATTTTGTGACGAATATTCAAGAGATTCGTATCGTTGTTTTCCTTTGCCAAATGTTTCAACATTCGATAATGGAATATTCTTTTACGTAGATTTTTATTTAAAATTTGGAAGCGCGAAAGTTTTTTTTATTAAATTGCTAGATCTCGGATCTTTGGAAAAGCATATTACGGAGGCTTTTACGAAGCCTTGATTGATTGATACCTTCATGTAATAAACGTCATTACTTTATTTTATCAAATTCGAGAACCTAATGGCCCTAACGCAATCCCGAAACTCGACAAAGCCGTAAAATAAACGACGTTCCACGCGAGCAAAGGCACTTCTTAACTAAATGGTGTTTCCAACGGTCGGTCGATTCTCCCGAAAACTGTCTATCAGGTTCGGTAGACCAAGGCTGCCCGGGGAAAACTAATTATGACTTCGATGGACCGCAAATAGCTATAACTATCCGGCGCAACTAAGGCACCTTGTCGACCCATGTCTACTCATCCTCTCCTCATGACCTCGTAAACTATGGAAGAAGCCTAATATTTATTGCTCGCCAAATCATGACAAGATCAAAACACGAAACTTTCTCGTCTTTTTAACAAAATGCCCATTTTATACCAACAATCTTCGACCACATTTCTAATCGAATTAAATTTTTGATCGTCGATGATGAGGTAACCAGCCAATAAATATTTCTCACGATGGAAAGAATGTAATTCTATATTTGTTAGAGCGAAACGCTTTATATTCCATCTCGTAATTTCAGTAATTTATTTAAAAAATCACGATGTGTGATCGAGAAGTGTGAGTGAAAAAACTTTTTTCACGAATATTGAAACGATCTTTGGACGAGTACAATGATTTCATTCAGCTTCTAAGATACGAACAAACGAATCGTGTTCTCGCGAAAACGTATACCATCGCGATCGTCGGTTATGCACCGACACCGGACTGGATGTTGTTCGACGTTGATATATGCATTATTCAGGCCGTGTATCTATTCATTATTCATGTCATGATCAATGGATGTCAACAGACCACGATCTGTATCTGGACGGAAAGTGAAAGCACTCGCTGTCGTTCGGTCGTGCGCTTGCGACACGAAGGTGCCGATCAGATTTTACGAAACGAAGGAAGTCGACACACGCGCGCGCGCGCGCACGATACGCACACGAGTCTCCCGTTACAATAACACATTATAGTCGTATCGTCGCTTTTGTTTGGTCAACGATACGTTGACGAGATAATCAGCCAATTGTAGCGTTAATCGGAGTTGACGTTTGAATTGTATAGAAATTGAGCATAATATCGTCGTATTGTTCAATCTCGAAATAATGATCTCGGATATTACAAGTTGAAAAGTGACATAATTCGAAAATTACAATTTTTGAAAAGCTTGGAACAATTTTGAATCTAGTTGGAACTTAAGATTCGAATACAAATATATAATATATAATAATGAAATTCGGATGATCATTTCGATTTTCTCTTTTATCATCGCGCTTCCCTTACGAGATTTGGAAACTAATATTTTCAAGAATATCATAGTTTTGGAACGCTGTAACAGTTTATTTTCAGAATACCGTAACATACTTCGAAAATGGAAGTATTTCTCTCAATTCTCTCCTATGAAACTCAATAGTTCCTGAATTGTGGAACGCGTGGTATTAGGATTGTAGATCAATTTCTAACCCATAGTGGAAAACGATATAATATACCCCGATATATCGATATTCGAAAATTCCAGGGTGGAAAGAATTATTAAAAAAAAAAAAAAAAAAAAAAAAAAAAAGAGAAAAGAAAAGAGCGAGTTCTTTGTTACAGAGATCGATTAATGGTGGTGGATTTCGGGGCGCGAAAAGGGAGAGGCCGATAAAACGCGTCGCGATAAAAATCGATATGAAATCGCGTATCGAAGGAGCCCCGTTATCGATAAATTTCGGGTTATGAGGTTTTCTCGCCCGATATCGGCCGAGAATTCTCCACGCCAGGTATCGATAAACATATCGATTGAATTTCGTACCGGTGCCGATAAATTGTGTGTGCCCCCTCCTGAAAATCAACACCAATAAATTCCGGGTCGTGGAAATCGGCACCGATAAATTCCGAGTCGTAAAAATCGATGCCGATAAATTTCCCCCCGCCTTTTGGGGGAGAGGGGAGGGTATAAAACTACCCCTACGGGTTACATTCCGGGTCGTGATAACCGGATCGGCGAATAAATCTGGGATCACTGGCGGCCCGCCCGTGATAACCATCTGGGGGATGGCGGTGGATATCCGTGGAAATGATCGACGATGATTTTCGGGTCGCGGTAATTTCACACGATGACAAATTCCACGCGGTCGGGGAAGCGAAGGGGCCGAGATAAATTCTGGGTCGTGGCACGCGGTATCGATAAACTCGGCGTCCGCTCGACTCGAATCTTTCATTAATCAACCCCGCGTTGCAACCCAGTTACGCCATTCTGTACACGCGGGGAGAGGGGGTGTAACTGAATACGTGGCGGATACACTTTAACGGGAATGGACTCGACGCTTAAAAACAATAGGGTAAATTTGCAGGGACGTGGGGTGGTGGCCGCAGGGAAAGTGTGTTGTTCCCTGTATTTATTTCGTCCCCGTTTTACGCGCGTTAAATTTCGCGCGTTTTAAATTTTTCGATATTAAATTTGGTTTAGGGTGTGGTCGTAGGGAGCGAATAACGTCGTTTTTAGAAGGCCAGTTCTAGGTTCGTAAAGAATCGATCGTTGTGAATTATTGATACAGAATCGAGTTATCGATAATATATAATACAAGGTAGAAACGGTGATAAGAGAAAGATATTAATTAATAATATATATATCGTAACTAATATATCTTTCTGATCGGACAACGAATTATCGATTATTTTATTTATTGCAAAACTTTTTAAATCGGATTTTAAAATATTTGAAAATATAAATAAATATTGAAATAGATATTTTTAATTGGAAGGAAAATATTTATTGGGAAAGAAATTTTATATTGGATAAAACGAAAAATTAAAATAGCAGCGCACGTAAATAAGAAAGCAAACATCTAAATCCTTGTGTCAAGATGTCGGAACACTATAAACACCTCGAAGTGATAAATCAGACACAAGTTACTTGTGCAACTTACTTTCTACTACGACTCGAACACTTGTAGCGCATTAAGTTGGTCGTACATTTAACCTCTTGACGGTGTCACATCGTGCAGACCTCTCGCATTTATGCACAATAAAACATGGAGTAATTATCTAATTTCTCTCAGAATTTGTCGAGTTAAAATTGTCGAGATATTTCGAATATCTTTCGTGCATATAAGTAGAGGAATAAATTGCAATAATTTTATCAATTATAAAACTATTATTAAAAACATTGTTTCTTTTTCTTTTTCTTTCCTTTCTACTTTCATTTTATCTAATATCAAAAAACGTTTAATCCAAATGAATGTTGATTTTATTCATTATCACTCATCGAATAAGTCGATAATGCTTCGACAGCAAAACGTAATATCATAATTAATATCATACTCTTCTACGACATCAAATATCGATAATTTATTTACAAAATTAAGAATAAATAACAATATTTTATTAAATCTCCTATCAACCTCATAATATTCAAATTCGACATTCTCTTCGTCCTCTGTTTACAACCCCGTGAAATCTTTAAGAAGCGCGGCAAGCTGCGTTTGTTTCAACCGCGGCTGCCTGCAAACAAACGAGCAAACAAACGAAGCAAACAAACAAACAAACAAACGCGCTCTACTACGCGAAACTAGGAGCATCATCCTCCCCGCGCAGCCTCTTTGTCACGCGAGCAACGACACCAACAAGGGGGTGAAAAAAGGGGTGAGAAACACGCGGGAAAGGGCGAACGCGAAAGAGCAAACGAAGAAACGCCGACGCGACGTCTTTTATATCCGGCCGTCCCCCCTTGGTTGCGCGTATGCACGCGACAATGCAACCGTTGTAAAACGGTTAAGAGGATTTGTCACCTTCGTGTCACCGAATAAACCTCCTCCCCCTCCCTCCCTCTTCGCTCGCGAAACTCGCTAGCTCTCCAAGTTGACATCTTCGAGGACACGATTTCCTCCACTCCCTTCTCCTCCTTAATCCTTTCCTCCCACCCTCCCTTTTCGCGTTAAGCAGAAAATTCAACCACCCTCTCTTCTACCCTCTGCCTGTCCCCCTCCCCCTCCCCTCGATTCTCTTTGTTCGCGGCGCATCAAACGTGAAATATGCGAGTTCGCCCGGGGAATTTCGGCAATTTGCGAGGAGAAATCGGGAGGAGATGGAGGGAGGGAGGAGAGAGGACTCGGCTTCGTCTTTAATCCTCCATCCCCCAACCCTCGAAATACTAGATTTGTCGAACGTTTCACGAGCGGATGGAGGTAAACTTAGCCCGGCGAAACGCATGTGATACCAATGGAAAGTTGAGTCGGAAGTTGTTCCCTTTCCACTAGAGGAAGCCTCTCGCCTCCTCCACCTCGGTCCTCGATCCACGGGCTATAGAACTCCCTCCCTCGCTATTATTATTTAAGCTCGTTGCTTATTTCGAACGGTTAACGGTGTCGTTAGAGAAGAAGATCGTTCGAGGATCACCACCGAGGAGGAGGGGGGAGGGGGTGAATTTGTCGCGCGAGCTACTTATTAGGAAGCGCACAGCTGTAAGGGGAGTAGAATAGTTTTAATGGTTTCTCTCTTCATTCTTAGACAGAAATACGATGTAATTGAGCGCGATCGGTTTATTTATCGGCCGGTTTTCGTCGAAAGATACGGATTTAAATGGGGCAGGCCACCGGTTATAAAAGGGTTTTCAAACTCTTTGTTTTCTAATGGATATCGAATGGAGGTCGATCGGGTGGAAGGT